TACTTCCCTTATTAATCTCATTTCTTAATTTGGCAGATTAGGAAAATCATGCTGTCTTGCAGCAGCTGAGGTCCATGTAGGCTGACTTTCCCCCTCCTCCTTCTGCAGGTATTTAACCTTAGTAAGGCCAGAAGCATGAGCCCATGCGCACTTGGTCCTTAGCCTGGAACCTGTCGAAATCACCTTGCCTGGAGCAGCCAAGAGTTTTATGTTTTTGATATCATTTGTCGTTTGGAACCTTTTCCCCTTTTTGAGCTGCTTTGGGTCCATCCAGAGAGAAAAGCAGCGTAAATGAATAAATCTGCAAACATGTTTGGTCCAGCAAACCCCCCCCCCCGGTCCAAGTCACAGCCCATGGGGTTTTCAAGGCAAGAGACATTCAGAAGTGGTTTGTCATTGCCTGCCTCCACATAATGACCCTGGACTTCCTTAGTGATCTCCCATCCAAATACTAACCACGGCCGACCCTGCTTAGCTTCCAAGATCTGATGACATCAGGCTAGCCTGGGCTATCCGGGTCAGGGCTCTGGATAGTTGTACCGTTTAAAGTATTAAGTAGCTTGGTTGTGGGCTACCTTAAGGAACACTTACTGTCCTATGTGCCTGCCAGTCAGCTTAGGTTATCTGCCACATTCCTTCTTTATGTATCCCTGTAATGATTTCATGTTTAACTGTGTGTGTGTGGCTTTAAAAGTTTGGTTTGCATGGCTGTGATGATAATCTAGAGTGCTGGAATCAGGCAAGTGATATGACTGGTGAGTGAAAGAGAGGGGGAGGGGTTTTGGAATGGATGCTGTGTGGAGGATTTGAATGTCTATCAAGAGGGTCAGTTAGAGATGACAGTTGATGAAGTCAGTGGAAGGGCAGTTAAGCTATGTATGAGAGAGAAGGAGAAGCTTCCCTGTGTGGGTTGTTAAGTTCTATGTCTTAGAGTTGAATAAGACAGTTGATAAGGAGTTGATTCTGAGGTCTGAAGGAGAGAAACAGTGAACTTGCATGACCTTGAGTTTATGTTACAAAGTTACTTGAAACCTCCCTGTCAATAAAGGAGAAGCTTGTGAGAGACACCAAGCAATTGTTCAAATCATTCCCAGTACTGTTTACATTGTTCTACCCTTGTATTTATGCTTTATTTAAATACATTTTATTTCATTCAAGTATACCAGCTCTGGAAAGAATATTCCTCAGACCACATAGACCTTCATGAAAGCCTAGACCCTCGGTATACCTACCCAGTGATAGAAATATTATATTATAAAGGTTTGGAAAGCCTTATAAATTTCCTGGTGGCAGCCAGAATACCCAAAGTAAAATAAAAGGAACGCTTTTAAAGTAAAACCAGACCTCCCCAGTTAAGGGGTCGTCACAATCCCCATCCACTAAACTAAGGTGGTTACTGCCAAAAAAAATGGCTTTTTCTCCAGTGTCTTCTCATCTTTAGAATGACCTCATCTAAGCTGTTTATCCAAGCAGAATGCCTGATCTTCTTCCTTCAAGTGGCATCTACGAGCATTCTCATTTTACCAGTCATCAGGTCAACTGTGTTGGCCTGTTTGGGGGGAGGGGTTGGTTCCTCCCCTTTGTCTCTGTTCTCCCATTTGGGAAATGGGTTTTTGTTTTAGCAAAATCATCTAATAATCTTGCCCATGGAACAAAATGTATTCAATATCTTCAGTGATACTTGGCATTCTTTTCGTCATAAGCCATTTCTGTTATTTTTCAGGTTTTAAATATTGTACTTTATAGGTCATAGTAGATTAACATAAAATCTTTTCCCCTTCCAGCTATGCATTTCCCAATTGTGTAAACAAATCAGAAGTTCTTAATAAATCTGAAGTTAAGAAAAAAAAAATCACTCAACAGTAAAATTACGTTCAATCGTTACTTTCAAAACTGCATCTTATTATACTATGTTAGGTAAAGGTTTCCCTTGCTCGAAAGCCAGTCAAATCCGACTCTTGGGTTGCAGTGCTCATCTCTGTTTCCAAGCTGAAGAGCCAGCGCTGTCCGAAGATATTTCCGTGGTCATGTGGCCAGCATGACTAAACGCCAAAGCGCACGGAACACTGTTACCTTCCCACCAAAGTGGTACCTATTTATCTACTTGCAATTTCTTGCTTTCGAACTGCTAGGTTGGCAGGAGCTGGAACCAGAGACGGGAGCTCACTCTGTCATGCGTCACTCAGGTCTCGAACTGCTGAACTACCGACACTAAAGCAACAAACTGTTTCTTTGTGTCCCTCAATACCAATACCTATACTGTTTTATAGAAGAATTTAAAGCCATACATTGATCTAGAGAAAATAATAGCACATATACAATACTCACATGTCCCCATAGGAAAGCTCTCCCCAATAGTTTTAAAGGGAAAAATTAAAAATCCAAACCAAGACTGACTGAGACCTGCAGCTCATTAAAGCTGAGGTGATTTTCCCTATATAGAATTCTATTGATCTCCATAGTCCACACTAGACAAAAAGTGTGGTCAGGGAGGGAATGA